TGCCATCGTCCACTTCACTCTCTTTATTTCTCTTGTGTCACTTGTCAGGACCCTGATTATCTTCAGATGCATTTGTTTCTTCTACCTCGGCACGTTAGCTCCAGAGGGGAGGACATCATCTCTCTTGTTTATTTCTCCATCTGGCTCATAGAAGCCACTTACCCAGTGCCAGGGCTGGGGAAAGCAGGGGCAGGGATGGGGGCTGTCTCTGTGATTCCCCAGCAGCCCCAGGGCCAGGTGTCAGTCCCTGGACAGGACCACCATGACTCAGGGAATGCAAGGACTGGCCCTTAAAGAACACACAGGAGTTCAGTCAAGGGGTGAAGCGGGCAAGGAATTGCAGGCAGAGGGATTGCAGTCCTACTGGATGAAGCGGCCTGGGGAGAAGATGGGTTGTCAATCAGCCCCTGATTGACATTGAGGCTGCGCCTCATCCACGCAGTCCACCAGCAAGAGGTTCTGGCTGGACCCTGCTCTGGGGTCTGGTTCTGCGGGTGAGGCGGCAACCATTTACCTCTGAATGCCAGAGCCCTGCCCTACCTCCTGCATGGTCATCCATGAACACGGAGCTCTTTTCCCCAGAGCCCTCCAGAGTTTCCCAGCTCTGACCAGGGCCTGCTCTGGAGCTTCCAAGGAACCCACCCTGCTTTCTGGCCCAGGCCAGGGTGGTGGGAGGGGTTCCTTGGCCCCTTAACCTAAAGCCTGTGCACCTGGGTCCATCCGACGCCCCGCCCCACAGAAGCCTTTCTCTGTATATGTTGAGAACCAGCAAGCAGCAGGGTCTTCCAGAAGACAGAAGACCCAGCAGCCTTCTTGTTGCTTCTCCGTGCAAAACCATTCAATGGCTCTACTCACCACCAGGTGATAAGGGCATACATATGCTGTCATCTGCCACCACCTCCCTTCTACACACACATGTACACGCACACACACACGTACACGCACACACACACGTGCATACACACAGTTTACGCCATACCCATCTTCTTCCCAGGCCGCTTCATCCAGTAGGACTGCAGTCCCTCTGCCTGCAATTCCCAGCCCACTTCTTGGCTGAACTCCTGTGTGTCCTTGAAGGGCCAGCCCTTGCATTCCCTCATCTGAGAAGTCCTTCCTGACACCCCCAAGCCGAGTAGGGTTCTTTCTGCCTGCATACTACAGTGCATGTGTTTACAAGGCCTTCTCTCCTCTAGACAGTGGCAGAAAACAATCTGGGTCCTCAGGGACCTGAAGGGGGCCTGTCCCTCCACACCTGTGGGTATTTCTCATCAGGTGGGATGAGAGACTGAGAAAAGAAATAAGACACAGAGACAAAGTATAGAGAAAGAACAGCGGGCCCAGGGAACCCGCACATTCAGCATGTGAGGACCTGCACCGGCGGGGGTTTCCAAGTTTCCTCAGTATTTATTGATTACTATTTTCACTATCTCGGCAAGGGGAGCGCGTCAGAAGAGTAGAATGAACAGGGTGATGGTAGGGAGAAGGTCAGCAGGAAAACATGTGAATAAAGGAATCTCTGTCACAAATAAGTTCAAGGGAAGGTACTGTGCCCAGATGTTCACGTAGACTAGATTTATGTTTCTCTTTACCCAAACATCTCAGTGTAGCAAAGAGTAACCGAGCAGTATTGCTGCCAGCATATCTCGCCTCCAGCTACAGGGCAGTTTTCTCCTATCTCAGAATAGAACGACTTCGGCTTTACACCGAGACATTCAGTTCCCAGGGGCATGCGGGAAACAGAGACCTTCCTCTTATCTCAACTGCAAAAAGGCCTTCCTCTTTTATGAATTCTCCTCAGTACAGACCCTTTACGGGTGTCGGGCTGAGGGATGGTTAGGTCTTTCCCTTCCCACAAGGCCATATCTCAGGCTGTCTCAGAGGGGGGAAACCTTGGACAATACCCAGGCTTTCTTGGGCAGAGGTCTCTGTGGCCTTCTGCAGAGAATTGTGTCCCTGGTTAATAGAGAATGGAGAATGGCGATGACTTTTACCAAGCATACTGTCTGCAGACATATTGTTAACAAGGCACAGCTGTAAATCCCTTAAACCTTGATTCAATACGGCACATGTTTCTGTGAGCACAGGGTTGGGGCTAAATTTACAGATTAATGGCATCTCAAAACAGAACAGTTTTTCTTTGTACAGATCAAAATGGAGTTTCTTTTGTCTTCCTTTTCTACATAGACACAGTAACAGTCTGATCTCTCTTTCTTTCCCCCACAGGGACCTTAGTCTCATAGGGGTATCCCCTTCAATGTGATACATGCAGTAACAGAGGGACTCATGTACAAGGCGTCTGGAAGCCACGGGCCAGCTCCACCAGCCCTGGGCAGTGGGAAGGCTACTGAAGGAGGCTTACTGGAGACATAAAGGCATAATGTTTCCCCCAGGGCATTCCAGACACAGAACAGTGGCTAGCCAGGTACCAGGGCGTGACTCTTCAAGGAATTACAAGCCATGCCCCAAGCTGAGTATAAAGTACAAGGGGCAGGGAGTTGGGGGGAAGATAAGGCCAGACTCAGAAGCAGGAGACTTGAGTTCATCAAGGACTTCAACTGCCCTGAGAAGGAGTTTAGGTTTTGTCCTGTGAGCAGTGGGAAGTCAGTGAGGGGTTTTAGGCAGAGGAGTAGACAATCAAATCTCCAGTTAAGAAAGCTTCCCGACCAGCAACCGGGAAGGATCAATGAGAAAAGAGTGAGGCGAGGGCGTGGGTGAGGAGACTGCCACAGGGTCAAAGACAGAAAGTGTGATGGGGTCTGAGGAAGACAGTCGCAGTGGGGTGGAGAGGAGGGGGGACACTTAGGGCTTGCCACAGAGCTGGGTCTTCTAGGAAGGGTAGTTCATTGGGTGTGAGGATTGAGGGAGGACTCAGGGAGGACTCCAGCTCCCTGGGGGAACACATGGCTGGTGGCTGGTGCCTTCCCTGAGATGGGAGCATGAGAGGGGAGATTGTTTGCTGAGAAATAATGAACTCAGCTTGAATTCCAAGGTGTCTGTAAGCCCTCCAGAGGGATCCTAGCACCTCTCACAGTGCCTAGCAGGCAGAAAGCCCTCAATTCTACAGGAAGCTGTGGAGTGAGTGAATGAATGTGGTCCCACAGCCTTTTAACTCCACAATTTCAAGGATATGCGCTTCGAGTCCCGCTTCCTGGTGTCTCCGCTGGAACTCCTTTGCAGAAGAACTGCTGTGGCACCCAGAGCTTTGTGCAGAAGCTTTAGTTATGGCCCCAAGTCCCCAGGTATGGGAAGCTTGGCCTCTCCCTCTTCCCTGAGGGGGCTCCACAGAAGCAGAAGTCCCCAATACCTGGCCCCAGGCCCCAGACCCACCCAGGCCACAAAGGGTTTCTGTCTGAGAAGACCCACACTGCTCCCAGGGGCATCCCTAAAGGGCACTGCAGATAGCGAGGTGCTGCGAATGCCACTCATTGTTTTTCTGCCCCTGCCCATCCTGACCCAGGGGCCCCCATTGGAGTCCCTGCTGTGCTCACACTGACTTGAGGAGGGGCCTGTGGGAAGGACGGGCCTGGCCTGAGCTGGGCAGAAATGAGGTGTTGCCTGAACCCCAAGCTAGGGCTGGGGTGAAATATGACTGTGGCCTTCATGGAGCTGGGGGAGGCAACCAGGGTACAGGCTATGTATCCCAAAAGAAAGTGAAGGGCCACGAGATGGAGACCCAGGGAACAGAACCCCAGGACTGCTTCCCATGGGGCCATGGCTGGGTGCCGGCCTCACAGGCACCTGATCCCTGCGCCCCAGCAGCTGGCTACCCGCTGGACTCTCCCAGGGACACACACAGCCCAGGCAGGGAAGGCATCTCCCTAGGAACTGACCTGTGGACTCCAGGCCATCCAGGGCAGCATTGGTTGGGTGGTGATGGGAGAGAAGGCTGAGATCTCCTGGGATAGTTCCAGGGAAGCTAAAGATGGGAGTGCTCCAGCCCTCAGACTCCACAGCACACTCCATCACAGGGCCCAGCACTGGGGCCCTGCACTCTGCTCACAACGGTCCGAGGCTCACCGACACTCCCCTGCCCCCGCCTCCCCTCCTGCCCTGCTCCCTACTTTCTGTTTACACCTGGCCTCACTGGTTAGACTGTGAGTTCCCAGAGGGCGTGGGAGCCTGGCCCACCCTGAGTGCCAAAAAAGAGTTTTCAATACCATGAAGTGCAGGAAGTGGGTAGGTTCATGACTACAGATAGACGCAGGTCTCTGTTTCCCATCTTTGCTGAAGCCGGCCAGGCATCCACCAGGGGTCTGGGCACAAGATGGGGTAGAGAAGGAAAGAGAGTAGAAGAGCAAGAATGGGCTGGTACAGGGGCTCCTGCTGGAAGGGACAGCAGTAGGGACAGAATGAGGGCCCTGCCGGAGGGAATCTGAGTCCTCCATGTAATGCCCCATGTGGCTCTGTGCCCCAGTTCCCATCTTCTCTGAAAAGATCCATGTCTTGCTCACAGGCACCACCCAGGCACACAGGATCACACATCTATGGGTGCCACCCATGCACAGGCACAGCACACACACCAGCCCACAGCTTCCCCCAAGCCTGGAGTCCACCTCCTGCCAGCCTGTGCCCTCACCACAGAACCCAGACTCTGGGCCATGCATACTCTCTCCTTCTGGTCCCAGGCCCATGCCTGATGCTGATCTGTTCCCCAGAGTAGGCACGCAAAAGGCAGAGGGAAGAGGGGGCCACACCCCAAGGCTAGAAGTGGGGAAACAGGGAAGCAGTAGCCTCTAGCTAAGCTGGGGACACCTGTCAGCACAGACACTGCCTCAGGTCCAGGTTGATGTTGAGTGGTTAGTGGCCAGGAGGCCTCCCCACCCGCCAGAGTCCAAAGAACACAGGCGTGGTTGCCTCTGTAACCTCATCAAAGGCAGGCTCTGCCTGTGGCCACTAGCAGAGAAGCTGCTGTCCTTCTGCCACCAGCACCGGACCACCTGCTCCAAGACCAGCCTCCTGGGAGAACCAGGCACCTGGTCTTCACTGGCACCCAGGTAAGGGCCTGGCCCCCAGGGAAGATCAGGGCCCATCCCAGTCACAGGGGATCCCAGGGCAGGTGGGGGCAACTTAGTGGCTTCCCAGGCCAAGTCTCCAGCCTGTTCCCAGCTGCAGCCCAGGGGATCAAGCCCGAGGAGGGGCTCGGGACTCAGCAGCTGGCTGGTGGGCTGGAAAGCAGAGCAAGGTCCAGGTTCCGGAAGGACCTCTGGGATGCTTGCCCCAGGGTCTGTGAGGTGATGGCCTTCCCTGCTCCAAACCCCTACATCTAGGGCTTAAAGGGGGAAACTGGGCTGTCACAGCTCCCCTACCCCTAAGGGGCAAGGCAGGCCAAGCCAGCCCCCTCTTCCCTTCCTGGGGTAGGGAATCTTTGGAGGCAGCTGTTTCCCCACCTGGACCTACCTACCCACAGGGCCCTACAGGGCCCACCCTGGTGTTGAGGGAGTGGGGAGTGGGGCTGACCAGGGCCAGACCTCACTTCCTCTTCTGCATGGAGAGCATGGAGAAGCAGGAAGTGTTACAATGGGGGTTGGGGGAGGCTGGGAAAGGGGAGCAGGCTTCTAGCCCAGCCTTACCCCTGGAGAGAAAAGCGGTCCTCTCAAACAAGGAAACCAGAGATCCAGCCGTCCCTTCCACATTCCCTTTATTGTTCACTGGCAGCTTATTTCCTTCAACACTGAGTCATCTTATCAGATCCTACGTCATTTTCACAACAGTCCTAATAAACAAGGGTGTGGGTTGCTCCCTTACATGTTACCCGGGGTATTCCAGTATCTCTGCACAACTGAGGTGTACCATGAGGACCTGTGGATATCCACAAACCTCATTCAGATTAACACATACCCTTGACCTGCACAGACTAACTCCACTCCCAGCCGGCACACACACACCACATTTAATTCCACTCCATTTCAACATGTACGTTCTCTAGACTCCCTCCATGACTGCGCACAGCCCAGTGGCAGAGGCATGTTTACAAACCATTAAAACATGAAGCTTGCAATCAGACAGATCTGGGTTTGCTCTCTATTAAGCACTCATTTGTGACCTCAGGCCTGTTACCATCTTTGAGCCTCAGAGTCCTCATATGGTAAATGGGGACAATACCAGTACATGCCTTGTGAGGTTGTTTTGAGGATTAGAGTGACTGAAGATAAAGCTGTTAAAACAGTGCTAGGCACACGGCACCAAGTAAGTGGACGGCAGTGAGGAGGAACTGATAGGATGCTGGTAAGGGGCTTGGCACCAGGCTCACAGCACCGTGGTGGCTGATATGACTATCGTTGCTGGAGAGAAATGTACAAGGTCCAGTGCAGCATTCCAGCGCAGCTGGAATTTAAAGGGTTGGGGCCAGGAGAGGACCTGGGCAGCGGATACAGAGTACAAAAAGCAAAGAGCCAGGAGGCCTGGGGAGACACTCGTGGAGGTCAGCTCACTGGCGAGTCCTGCAGTGCCATCGTAAGTACACACACGCATGCATGCAGTCTTCCCAGAGGGTCTACAGCTGAAAAGCCAGCATCAGTGTCCTCTCAGTTTGCAGAACTGTAACAGGGTTGAACAAGAGGGCCTACTCTGGCAGAGTCAGCTACAGAACCCTCAGCATCTTTCATACCCAGGCCTAAGATAGGATCTGAACGCAGGTCCCTATCCATCCAGGTTTCCTGGGCTCCTTGGCATGAGCTTTATTGGCCAAACAATGGGAGGTCTGAGCCTTCCCTGGGGCCCAGCCATGCTGTGGCCTCCCTGGCCCTCCCTTCCCTCAGCCTGGGGCCTCCAGGCCCAGCCAAGACGGAGGGCTCCTCAGTGGAGGACACTGGCTGCAGATGGCTCTGGAAAGGGCCCCTGGAGCCAGGGGCTTTGGGTCTGGTCCCAGAGGCCCCAAGTCAGAGCAATAGCAACTGTCCTGCCCTGCTGTGCCTGGTTCCCCTTTCCCCAGCTCTGAAGGCTGCCTCTGGTTCACTTTGGGTTCTAGGGAGCCTTCCTCAGCAGCGTCAACATGTCAAGGCCCAGCAGCAGAGCCATTTACTGTAAGCTCCTGGCAGGCCCGTCTCCCCTGCCCTCCCACTGAGCCCCCTGAACGTCCCATCCTCCACTCCCTCTTCCTCAAAACAACTGCCCCCAGCAGTTGCCTGAGTCTCACCTCGCTCTTCCGCCTGCTTCCCACCCCTTGCTCTGTGCCCCTGTAGTGCACCGGAAGGAGTACTCCCAGAACCTCACCTCAGAGCCCACCCTCCTGCAGCACAGGGTGGAGGTGAGTACTTCTGCAGCCCTGGGCAGTGTCCAACTAAACCCAAGTGTTCCTGTGTGCCCACTGCCCTGCCAGAACATGGACACCTCACACAAGTCCCTGCCCTGGAAGCCAACAGCCTGTCCCAACCATGTCCCATGGATTCAGATCCAGCAGCCTGCCAGAGCATCTGCTCAGTGTCAGGGAGTAGGAGGGGTGGTCAGAGTGGGCAAAGCAGGCCTGGCTGGAGGTTGAGCGGGTGAGTGTCCTGTCCCCAGACAGGAAGAAGTAGCAGCGGGATGGGATAGGAAGCACTCGCAACCACCCACCCACCTACCCTCACCTGTCTCCCAACTCCCTGCTGCCCGAGTCCCCAGGGCACTGCTCCATTGCCCAAGACCTTGCATGGCTGGAGGCGGGAGTGTGTGAGGTCTTTGGGCCCTGTGGAGGATTGAGACGGCCACTGTTGGAGAGGGGAGCCACGTGGGCCCAAGCCTCCAGGGTGAGTGTGAGCAGCTCCAAGGCTGCTCCAAGGCTAGAAAGGAGTCTCTGGCTCTGCCAGGGAGGATGACGCAGGCACTGCAAGATTTAGGTGCCTGAAGGGCTGTCGACACCAAGGTGAAGGCGAAGCACAGGCTATAAGGGTGTGGTGGGGAGAGCAGGCACAGGGTCAGGCTGGAGCTCTGGGGTAGAAGAGCTCCACTGTTAGGATTCCAGTGGAGAACAAGCAGGGAGGGAGCTGGGGAGATGGTCTGGAGGTCCCACAGGGCAGCAGAGGCAGGGCTCCCACAGCCAGCTGAGGAGAGGCCAGGAGGACTCAGCTTCTCTGTAAAGTGAAGGTTGAGAACAGGCTTACTTTAGGCCCAGCAGGCAGAGCAAGAGGAGACATGTTCAGGAGGATGGAGTTTGCTCACGATGCCAGGGTCCCCTGAACATGCTGGTAGTGTGAACACAGGGAGAGGAGCTGGGCCCTGGGCAGGGGTGGGGGTCAAGGGGCAGGAGGCAGGCTGCATCTCCCCCTCACAAGAAGCCTGGGTGGAAGGGGCCTTGTGAAGGCAATGTTTGACTGGGAGAAGGGAGGGGCTCCTAAAGGAAACTGGATAACAGCAAAAAACTCCTGAATGGTCAGCCTAGCAGTAGGCAAGGACTTGAGCAGAGACTGAGATCACAATGGATGTCTCCAGGCATGAACCAGGGAGAAAGAGACAGGAATTCTGGGTGAGTGAGGAGGGAGACTGGGCTGAGACTGAGTTCCCAAAGGGAACAAAGGAAGCCAGGGACAGAATCTGAGGGTCCTGTATCCCCTCCAGAGGAGCTATTTGTTGGGTGGCTGGATCGCACATCCACCACCACCCAGCTGCCTCACCTGGCCTGGACTAGTAAAGGCCACGCCTGTCCTTCCTCTAGAGTCCTCAAACCCCTCCTGCAGCCCCTCAGACTCAGACTTGGAGCCCCCATCCCTGGCCCCAGTGCTTCGACACCGGCCCTCACATTGGCCCTGGAAAGTTGCTTTATCTGAAGCCTAGAACCTCCCACCTCAAGGGGGCCGAGGACACGTCTTCTTCCTCTTCTGCTTTTCTCTACCCAGCATGCCTGTGGTCCCCCTCTGTGAGCTTTCTCCCAGTCCTGCCCCTCTCCCTGCAGCACTTGATGACATGCAAGCTGGGGAGTCAGAGAGTCCAGGGGCCCAAGGATGCCTTGCAGAAGCTGTTCGAGATGGATGCGCAGGGCCGGGTGTGGAGCCAAGACTTGATCCTTCAGGTCAGGGACGGCTGGCTGCAGCTGCTGGACATTGAGACCAAGGTCAGCCCTCCCAGCAAACCCAGCCATAGCCAGCGTGGGCTGTGGGGAAGCAAGCACTAGCTCTTGAACTCCACCCTCCATGCCCCAAAGGGCAACCACCCTCCCCAAATACAACACACACCCAGGCCTAGGAAGAGACAGGGGACAGAGGCACAAGAGTCAGGTAGATGACACCCCAGCCCCAAGTCACCAAAGGGCTAGGACGAGCTGGTCAGGAGCTCCCAGAAGCCACACCTGGCTCTTGGTGGCCTCACAATTGACCTCTCCACCTGGCCCAGGAGGAGCTGGACTCTTACCGCCTGAACAGCATCCAGGCCATGAATGTGGCGCTCAACACATGTTCCTACAACTCCATCCTGTCCATCACCGTGCAGGAGCCAGGCCTGCCAGGCCTCAGCACTCTGCTCTTCCAGTGCCAGGAAGTGGGGGTGAGTGGTCAGGGGTGATTGGTCAGGGGTGGGGTTCATCGACTATCACCCCACCACACACACACACACACACACACACACACACACACTTAGCCTGCCTGACTGCTGCTTCCCAGGCAGAGCGACTGAGGACCAGCTTGCAGAAGGCTCTGGAGGAAGAGCTGGAGCAAAGGTAGGCAGCCTTGGCCCAGCCCACCTATGGGGCCTCCCAGCTCAGCCTCGAGGCCAGACCCTGATCCCATATCTTGGGGGACCCAGAAGGTTGTGGCCCAACCAACCTGGGCCTGGACTGAGGAGGGGCCGGGACAGAGGTGGGCATAGGGAAGGAGCTGGGCCCAGGGGGCACTAGAGATTGTCCTCAGAGACTGAGATAGGACCCGAGAGGGCCCAGAGGGTAGGCAGATGAGGCAGGGTGGAGTCAGGGGTGGGTCCAGAAGGAGACCAGGGAGCAGGCGGTAGGACTCCTGGAGAGAGGTGGTGGTGCCCCTGGGTCCTGGAGCAGAAGTGTGGGGAGGGCCTCTCTCCCAAGAACCTTGTCAAAGATGTGGCCCCTACCATGTCCTCAGCAGACCCCAACTTGGAGGCCTTCACCCAGGCCAGGACAGATGGAGGGGGCCTCCTGTGGAAAGGCCACTCCCTCTGGAGCAGGCACTCTCTCTGGAGCGGGGGCTCCCTCCAGAACAGCCCCATCAGAGGACCCTAGAGCACAGTAAGTTTGAGGCATGGGGGCAGGTGGAGGAGAAAGTTTCGATAAAAAGTCAAAGATCTAAGATCTAGATCCATGGTCCCCTTACATTGCAGGCCTCCCGCCATCCCCAAGGCCCCTGACACACTACCCCAGTGCCCGAGAACCAAGTGTCTTTACTCCGCCTCCTCCAAGGCGGCCCTCTTCCCCCGAGGACCCAGAGAGGGACGAGGTAACTGCAGGTGGTCTTGAGCTTGCTGAGGCTTTCTGGGCCTGGGAAAAGGAAGGACACCAACCCTCCCTCTTTTTCTAGGAGGCCAGGGTCCCAGGATGGCCAGGGCCTGGGCCAGGAGGCCAGAGAAGCTTGTTTATACTCCAGGCCCGGCCTGAGGCTGGGGCTTGTGGTGGGGAGGGGTGCGGGAGGCATGTTGGGAGTTCTAGAGCAGGCACAACTGCCCATTCAAGGCCATGCGTTGTTTGGGGCCCAGGAAGTGCTGAACCATGTCCTAAGGGACATTGAGCTGTTCATGGGAAAGCTGGAGAAGGTCCAGGCAAAGACCAGCAGGAAGAAGAAGAAATTTGGGAAAAAAAGCAAGGACCAGGGAGGTGAGTACTGAGGGCCAGGAGAGAGGAAGAAGGGTGTCTTGGGGTGATCTGTGGCCCACTGCCTTGCCCCTTCTCCCAGGTCTCACCCAGGCACAGTACATTGACTGCTTCCAGAAAATCAAGTACAGCTTCAACCTCCTGGTAGGTGGCTCCCCACAACTTCACCAGGCCTCTCCTCTTCCCCTTCCTCCCCACTAATCCTCTGCTGTCTGGACTCAACCATCCCAAGCCTTTTTCTTCTCCATCTACTCCCCCTAGAACCTCCCCTCCCCTCTTGGGACTTGTGGGAAGTGCCAGCCTTCTAGCCAAGGCATAAAACAATTATGGTGCCCTGGTGAAGATGGGGTGGGGTGAAGGGTGGTGACAGGCATTGCCCTGTGTCCCCAGGGAAGGCTGGCCACCTGGCTGCAGGAGACAAGTGCCCCTGAGCTCGTGCACATTCTCTTCAAATCCCTGAACTTCGTGAGTCAAGGGAGGACAGGGTGGTGAAGAGGGACAGGCTGAAGTCAAGAAGGAGTAGAGGGAGGAAAGGAGGCTGGTGGAGGGGGACGGGGAGCAGGGGCCAGGGTGGAACCAGATGGGCTGGGGTCAGAGCCAAGGACGCCAGGCTCCAAGGGAGACAGGAAGGAGCAGCAGGCCCAAGGCAGATGGGGACACTTGCAGGAATTAACATCCTACAATTGCAAAAGTGGGAAGCCAGGGACTCTGGGCCTTTCCCACCCACACTGGGCCCTGTAGGAGCCTAGGCTTCCTGACATTTTCCATCTCTCCCTTAGATCCTGGCCAAGTGCCCTGAGGCTGGCCTAGCAGCCCAAGTGATCTCACCTCTCCTCACCCCTAAAGCCATCAACCTGCTACAGTCCTGTCTAAGCCCACCTGAGAGTAACCTTTGGATGGGGTTGGGCCAGGCCTGGACCACTAGCCGGTGAGTGAAGACAAGGCCTGAACTGAATTGGGGGTCGGGCATGGAGGCATCAGGCAGGACATCAGAGGTGGCCAGGCTCTACGTTGCCACAAACCAGAAATATTTCAGAGCTACTCGGGGGACTCTACACAGAGCTCCCAACTTCTTATTTGGCTAAGTGCAAACAGTTTATTAACAAAAGAAAAGTGCACATTTGCCATCACCCACTACTGAAACATGTTATCTCAGAAAAAAGAACAGTTTTTCCCAAGAAAAGGGAGATGGCAACCTCCTACTAAAATATTTTCTCATTTTTGTCAAGGACAAAGTGAAAACTTTGTCTCAATCCAGCCCCAAATTTAAGAATTACTGACGTAAGAGATGCTGCAAATGTAATATCAGTAAGACTTGGCAACCAATGAGCCAGGGGTTAAGAAAGAAAGAGATACTCCCTGCAGGGGTAACTGTGAGATGGGTAGCTGGACAAAAAAGCCAAAGGAGGCCAGTGCGGTGGCTCATGCCTGTAATCCCAGCACTCTGGGAGGCTGAGGTGGGCGGATCACCTGAGGTCAGGAGTTCGAGACCATCCTGGCCAACATGGTGAAACCCCGTCTCTACCAAATATACAAAATTAGCTGGGTGTAGTGGTGCATGCTTGTAAACCCAGCTACTTGGGAGGCTGAGGCAGGGGAATCACTTGAACCCAGGAGGCAGAGGTTGCAGTGAGCTGAGATCGCCCCGCTGCACTCCAGCCTGGGCAACAGGAGGGAAACTCCATCTCAAAAAACAAAACAAAACAAAAAGCCAAACGGATGAGAGCCAGGGGAGTGGGAGGAACCAGCTTGGGCATGCTGATCTGAGGCATCCTTGGAACATTCCGCAGAGGCCTGGTGGCTGGGCAGCTGAGAGGGGATGCACGGAAGTGATGGCTGGAGGCACAGCTACTGGGGAGCACTCCAGAGGGAGCCCCTGAACGTACCTTGACAAGCATAGTTTGTTCTATTCCATGAAAGAAGAGGCAAGGGCCTTGGCAAACTTCTACATGGCGAATGCAAAAAGGGTTAAGAAGGCAGAAGAGTTAAGGAGAACCTGAAGAGCAGAGGGATGAAAATCAAGAGAAAAGGCTTTAGAAAAGCAGAAAAGCCAACAGGGACATGAATCTTTCCTTGGAGTTATTTGCCTAATAACCACTTTTATTTTGTTTGAGACAAGATCTCACTCTGCCACTCAGGCTGGAGTGCAGTGGCGTGATGATCTCATCTCACTGCAGCCTCCACCTCCTGGCTCCAGCAATCCTCCTACCTCACCTTCTTGAATAGCTAGGACCACAGTGTGCCACCTGTGTGCCACCACCATGTCTGTCTATTTTTTGTATTTTTTTATAGAGATGGGGTTTCGCCATGTTGCCCAGGCTGGTCTTGAACTCCTGAGCTCAAGGGATCCGCTCACCTCAGCTTCCCAAAGTGCTGAGATTACAGGCATGAGCCACCGCACCCCACCATGACCAGTTCTTTTCAATTCAGCCCCATTTACAAAATTTTGTGTCCAGTTTGTCTGAAGACATGAATTATAGTTCAAAACTATCTATTTTTTATTATGGTATAATATACATAGCATGAAATTAACCATTTTTATCATTTTAACCATTTTAAGTGTATAATTCAGTGGCATTACGTTCATTAACAATGTATGCTACCAACACCATTATCTACAGTACTTTAAGAACTTTTTCATCATCCCAAACAGAAATTCTGTACCCATTAAATAATAATTCCCCATTACCCACTCCTCAGCCCTTGGAAACCTCTATTCTACTTTCTATCTCTATGAGAAATGTGTTGCCTGTTCTAGGAACCTCATATAAGTGAAATCAGACAATATTCATCCTGCCGTATGTGGCTTGTTTCACTTAAAATAATGTCTTCACGATTCTTCCATGTTGTAGTATCTATCAGAACTGCCTTCCTCTTTATAGCTGAATAATACCCCGTTGTTATGAATATGACACATTTTGTTTATTCATTCATCTGTTGATGGACACGTGGGTTGTTTCCACCCATAACAATCTATTTTTATGCACCCTCTGTGCAGTCACTAAAATGAAATTACTTATCAGTTCTGGACCTCCCATCTCATACCAGTGTTCCCTTGTCCAAAACCCTGGGACTAAGAGTACCTGAATAAGCCAGTCTCACAGCTCTTGGGGCTGTGCTGGGCTCCCACTGTCCGTGGGAATAGCTCTGGTATCTGTCTAGCACTAGCAGGAGAGGAAAACAGAGGTTCTACAATAGACTCAAATAAGAGGGCCTCAAATTCCTTCATTCAGCCACTTTAACATTGAATAATCATGTCGAACACACCATTTTGTATTTCAAAACCCAGCCTTACTTCTACAATTTCAGTCCTTATAAAAACAGATTAGCACATATAATTTTTCAAATACCCACAAAGATGCAAAACAACTTCAGTATTCATAAAATGATGTACAATTGATAAATACTTCTAAATGTAATATTAAGTCAGATGTGCCCTTAGATGTTTTCTAATTTCTTAACATAACCAGAAATAAATGAAGGAAACATAGAAAATAGAATACCTAAAGATATGTAAAAACCCTCAAAATAGTTCAATTTCAGGCAAATTATATTTAGATAACTTGATTTTTGGCAAATTGACCCAAAGCTATAAGTAACACTAAATGTTGTGGTCATCCAGAAGAACAGAGACCATACAAGGCCATTGGATTTGGCAATCAGGATTTTAAATGGACTAGTTTCAATAAAGTAATGGCAGAAGTAGAAACCAGGTTGCAGGAATAATGAAAGAAACAGAGATAAGAATATATAGGCAGAGGATATAGGCATATTCTCAAAAAACTTGGTAAGAAGAAAGTAATAGGATGACAGCTTATAAGGAGTAGTATTAGGGTCAAGACCTAAGCATGTTTCTAAGGCACAGAAGGAACCAATTAAAAAGATTCAGATGAGGGAATCTTTCCTTTGTTCCCATTGAATAAACACTTAATAGCTGCCTCCTGTGTATCAGCCACTGTACTAGGGGTACAGCCCCCAAGGAGATCTATATATAGTAAGAAACAAAGAGAAAAGAATCATGAGCAATGCAGTGTGAGAAGAGCAATAACCCAGGGATGTACCAAGTTCAGCAGAATATTTACTTCTGCCCCAGTGAAGCAAAGAAGGGAACTTCTTCAAGGAAATGAATGGGCATTCCCTGGACAGACAAGAGGAAAATATTCCAAGCACGGCAAGCCTGAAGGCCACAAACAGCATGGTCCTCCTGGGCCCTGTGCAGTGGGAGAGGGGGAGGCTGAGAGGCAAGGACCAGCCCATCCCAGAGTCAACGGGAGCAGCTCAGCTGCAGTCTACTCACAAGGTGGAAATCCACAAACAATTTAGCTAGAAAGAAAAGGATCTGCTGCCAGGAAACTAAAAACAGCCTAGAAAAATACTGCACAAGCCCCCTGGGGTGTTGACCAGCCCAAAAGCTCTTGTAGTTCCACTACTTCAATCCAAACGCCCAATCAGGGCAATGAAGCGTCCATCATGTTCTTACGGAGGTGGTGTATCTTTACCTCACGGGCAGAGGTGAGGCTGGCCCCCAGACACCTGCTCTGTGGGATGTGTCCAGGCTTAGCTGTTTGCTCCTTTGTGGGTGTCGGGGCCTTTCATCTGTGCACATGGACCATGTCACCTATTAGCCAAAAGATTCCTGAGGCTAGGCCCTGTCATCCCCTCCCTCTCCACATCCCACAGCCTGGCATCAGAGTTCACAGAGTGGAAGTGAACTCAGCTTTGTTTCTCTCTTCAGGGCCGACTGGACAGGCGATGAGCCGCTGCCCTACCAACCCACATTTTCAGATGACTGGCAACTTCCTGAGCCCTCCAGCCAAGTAAGGGGAGCTTGGCACAGAGCCCTACCCACAGCCCTAGTCCCTGGCTAGTTTCTGCCCTCCCCATCCAAACCATGGTCACACAACTAGTGTGACCTAACACTGGCAAGCCAGCAAATTCCATGGAAACCCAAAAGTCACCACCAGACTACAAACAGGAGATATTTGGGGAGACTCTCAGGGCTGGGACATAGGCTCAATTTCTGAGGCCCCATCTCCAAGTGGTGGGTGGGTGGGTTCATGTGGGCACCTGTATCTGTATACTGGGGGAGACAGGAAAAGGGACAGGAGGCAGCTGTGTGTGAGCTGCTTATGCCTGTGGTCAGATACCCCAGCTCCCTCCCACCATGCTGGCTGCCTCCTGCTCTTACTCACTCTCTGTTCTGTCCCTTACAGGCACCCTTAGGATACCAGGCCCCTGTTTCCCTTCGGTATGCTTTGGGCTAAGTAGGGACCGTGTGGTCCTGGGGAGGGAGGGACAGGGCTGTTCCTTTGGATCTCTGGCTCTCTACATCTCAAGAGAGCCAACAGGGTCTCTTTTAGCCAGACAAACATGTACAAGGACATCCCTCTCCTACCTTGGGGGAAAATCAGTGTTCTACCCTCCTAGGCTCCCATAGCTTCTTCTCATGAGACTACCCACACATGTTTCTGATCTCCCAAACTCAAGTATAAAGTGCTTAGGGCAGAGCTCAGATGTAGAAAATTCCACTCCCGGAAATGTCTTCAGAAATCAATGACATTTCAGACCCTCCTGCTGGCAGAAAGCCCCACTCCAAGCCCCACCTAACATTGACCTGCCAGCAAACTCTAAAGAAACCCAAAAGTCACCATCAGACTGCAGGCAGGAGATACCTGGGGGGACTGTCAGGGCTGGGACATAGGCTCAATTTCTGAGGCCCCATTCTCCAGCCATCCTGACTCTGTTTCTTAGGAGGGGAAGTCATAGGTTAGGGAGCACCTCACACTTTCCTCAGGAGAAGACACACAACGATGACCCTCAGCCTGGGGACCCCAACTCCAGACCCTCCAGCCCCAAACCTGTCCAGTCAGCCCTGAAAATGCAAGTCTTGTATGAGTTTGAAGCTAGGAACCCACGGGAACTGACTGTGGTCCAGGGAGAAGAGCTGGAGGTGAGGCTTGGGCCAGAGGCTAGAAAAGGAGGTGGTGGTTAGTGGGAGCTACAGGCAGCCAAGGGTGGGAGGTCCAGGGAGGGGGCTGCCAAGGTGGGTGGCCTAGAGAGGGAGAAGGAGGGTAGGAAAGGGCCGGAGGGAGAAAGCCTTGTGGGGGGAGGGCAGGCTGGCTGGACAGAGGCTCAGGGGACTGAGGTGGTGACTCTTGGCAGGTTCTGGACCATAGCAAGCGGTGGTGGCTGGTGAAGAACGAAGCAGGACAGAGCGGCTACATTCCCAGCAACATCCTGGAGCCCCTGCAGTCGGGGACCTCTGGGACCCAGGACCGGTCACCCTCTCGGGTACTACCCAGCCTAGACTATCCAGAGCCCTAAGTTGGAGGTGGGGGTGAGGAGGATTCAGTGGCAAGTGGAGGAGATAGTCTTGGTTTGATTTAGACCGTATTATTGCATGCTTAGTGTGTGCCAACTTTATCATGGGCCAGAGCAGAGAATAAGACCAGCTCCCCGCCAGACCAGAAAGCCACAGAGTAAGAGAAGTGATTTGATGGGAACCTAGAGAAGGGACCCAGACGTTAGGGGCTGTGGTTGACTGTGAGATGAGATGGACTCTGACCCCTGGTTCCCCCTGATTCTAGGTTCCAATGCTTCGACTTAGCTCGAGGCCTGAAGAGGTCACAGGCTGGCTGCAGGCAGAGAACTTCTCCGTTGTGTGAGTGCTTGGCCCTACCGGATGTGGAGGCAGAAACTTTATAAAGGGCTAACCAAGGAAACCCAGAGACCCAGAACATACAACCTGGCCTACATTGTACATGACCCCGATCCAGCACTGTCTCTGCTGAGTTAGAGGACAGAGCAGAGGCGTGTTCAAGCCTAGATTAGAGATTAAGTGGGGAACCCTGCTGTGGCAAAGGCAGCAAGGATCAGGGGAGTGGACTCAGGAAGAACCCCAGCTGCCAGCTCAGTCGCCCCTCCCCAGCCAGAAGATTCTCTCCCAGAGCACTTCTTTCAAGCCTGGAAGTTCTGAAATTGGCTGAAGCCAAATGCTGACTTTACTCCTTCACTCCCAGACAGCCTACTCCATGAATTTTTCTGTAACCCCAACCTCCAAGCCCAAAGAGCCCCTTTTCTACCCAAATGCTTAGGCCTAGAGTGCTTCCAGCGCACTACTGATGGCTTTTGCCGTTTTGTTCACAGCACGGTGAGGACACTTGGGTCCCTGACAGGGAGCCAGCTACTTCACATGAGACCTGGGGAGCTACAGATGCTATGTCCACAGGAGGCCCCACGAATCCTGTCCCGGCTGGAGGCTGTCAGAAGGATGCTGGGGGTGAGGACACCCGGGGGTCCTGACACCCATTGGGACTGTCTGGTGCTCCTGGGTGAGAGAGAGTGCGAGGTTGACAAGCCTGCCGGCCCAGCCCTGGGGCAGAACTGAGTGTGGCGGGTGCTGGGCACAGGATATTCCCCCAGGGGCTTAGCTTCATGCATTCAGGCTTACCTTGAGGCTCCAAGCTTATTGGTGGCATAAGCTCTGCAGATCCCTCACCTGCCACCAGCCTCATCTGAATCTTTTTCTTTCCTCAGATAAGCCCTTAGGCACCAGCTTAGACACCTCCAAGAACCAGGCCCTGCTAATGCAAGATGGCAGATCTGATACCCATTAGAGCCCCAAGAATTTCTCTTCTGGATCCCAGTTTGCAGCAAACCCCACGCCCCAGCTCACACAGCGAAAACAATGGACAGGCCCAGAGGCTGAAGCAAACACTGCCAATTCTGGCTGTGTTGGAGTCTCCCCAGTAACCACCTATTTATTTTATCTCTTTCCCAAACCTGGAGCATTTATGCCTAGGCTTGTCAAGAATCTGTTCAGTCCCTCTCCTTCTCAATAAAAGCATCCTCAAGCTTGTCATGTGCCTCCCTCGCGGCTTCTTCTGGGCCTGAGGGAGACCAAAGGCAGGGAGGCAGGAAGGGCTGGAACACTTGGCATGAAAACAGCAGCAAGCCTACATCCATCACTGAGCCAGATTGTTTGAATGTCAGTGGACATTCACACAGCAACCTGGAGCTGGGAATCAGAATTTGAGAATCATGGTCCAAGCTCTCCTGACTCTCTTTCCAAACAAACTCCAAAATAAAGCTATGCTCACCATCTTTTTCACACACGCGTCTCTCAGTATATTCCAAGGCACCCAGCACAGCTGCAGGCACACCACTTCACAGTAGCAAAGAGCACAAGGACCGACAGCTGTGGGCTTTGGTCAGTTGCACCAGCTGGCTGGGTGAACTCCAGCAAGTCATTCCACTCTTTGGGACCCTGTTTTCTCAAGGGTTAAGCAAAGAATCTGGACTGTCCATAGCTTTGTATATTTTTTAGTAAAAGTAGCTTTCTTTAATTTCAAAGGAGTCCCCTCTCTACATATCAGTAGCTATACTTGTATTGATTTAGTCAACAGATAAGGCCCAATGTACTTATGGATTTGAGGGTTCTTAAGATGTTCCCTTAAATCTCTCTTAGCTGAATTTGTCCATGACCCTAACATTGTCTGGGCCCCAGACTGCCCTATTTTTAGACTGCCTATGTCATTCCCTTAAGTTCCTGGCCTCAGAAAATCATCTCTCATAGCTGTTAACAGAATAGGAAAGCAACAATTTTCCCCCACAAAAGAGAGAAAAGGTGAGACCCTTTGGGTGTGACTTGTCAAGGGCAAAAGTTACCCAGAAAAGTTAATTTCTTGGGATGAGGGAGGAGGTATTAACCCATCACCCTGCATTGCCTCCCAGAGCTAAAGGAGCCTAGAAGCAGGGAAACTGTTCATGACCAGAAAAAAGTGTTTTCACCTGGTGTTCCCCAGACTTCCCAAGAAGACTGCCTTGCAGCGAGAGGCTGTTTAGATGGCCAAGTGCAGGGAAACTAGCACCAACTGTGTTATTAGACAGATCTAGGTTTGAATCCCAGACCATCTGTGGGACCTCAAGCTTAGAGGAGCAACTCCCCTAACAGCTCCAGGAAGTTTCTTCTAGAAAATGGGCGTAACACCTACTTCCTAAAGTTGTTGTGCAGCTTAAATTGGAATAAATTAGCTAACATACGTAAACACTTAGATATTGCCTGGCATGTGATAGGTACTCAATAAACGCTAATCTTAAACCTCAGGTGAATTTGTGACTGGCCTTTTGCTTTCTTGGGAATGAGAGACACAAGCATTATAAATTTCACCTGTCCCTGTGGTTTGTACTCTTTTCCTTTCTTCTGTTTAGCAAAATGCCCTTTTTAAAAGTCCCAACCTTGCTTCAGTTGAACTGATGGGCAAATGTGATTTCCCACACCCAAGCTAGGGGATCTAGGAGCTCAGAGTGCCCTGAGGGCTGTGCTGTGGAGGCCTGGCCAGAACCCTCAGAGCTGCTCAGGACTCCTTCCTCTGTCACTCCTCCACAGTCAACTAGAACCCTATCTCTCCCGAGTTGCCCCTGCTGCAAATCTGTGCCCTGTTTCATTTGCATGGGCCCTGCTGAAATTCAGAAGCTTAGTTCTTCCCATGAATATAGGGGCCTCCTGCAGGTCTCTTGCTCTGTCAAGGTCAAAACCCCTACTTTCCTAAATTCAACCATTGATTCTCCATCTTCATCTTACTTCATCAGCCACACTTGACACAGTTGATCACTTCTTCCTTTAAACATCTTCACTTGGCTTCCGAGGCCCTTTGTTTTCCTCCTACCTCCCTGGCGATTCCTTTTCAGACTACTTTGCTGGTTCACTCTCATTTTTCCCTAATCTTTACATGTTGATATGCCAGAGCACCTCAAACCCTTAGACCTCATCTCTGCTACTCGCGCTCCTATGGTGATCTCATTTAGTCTCTGGTTTCTAACGCAATCTACAGAGTGATCACTCCTGTACTTGCTGTTTCCCTTTTCCTGGAGTTCTCCCTGCCTCCTGCAGGTAGGAAGTGATTCAAGATAAGAGATGGAGAGAGCTCTTCTGGCCAGGATAGAGGGTGATTCTGAGAAGGCTTCAAGGAATAGGTGAGCTTTTGAGCAAGGCTACTTGAGGAAGGGTAGGCCGTGGACATTAGGGTGCAGGCAGGAGCAGAGCAAACATGCTTGTAAAAGGAACAGCAATTATTCTGTTTTATATTTATATCAGCCCATGGTGGCCCCTACAGCAGAGTGGCTTGATCTCTCACCTCCTTCAGGTGTTTGTTTAAAGATTAACTTCTTCATGAGGCCTTCTATGAACATATCCTTTAAAAACACAAATCCCCTTCCTACTAGGACTCCCCCAATTCCCACCCTGAGACCCCCCTTCTCGATTTTATTTCTCTCTATAGGATGTGTATCACCACCTGACTTACTAGATATTTACTATATATTAGTTTATTTATTCCCCATTAGAATATAAACTTCCTGAGGGCAGGGATTTTGTCTGTTGAGTTCAATTCTGTATCCCCAGTACCTAAAACAGTGCCTGTCCATAACGGGCACGTTAAACATTGTTGGACAGATGAATGAGTGAATGAAAAATGGTAGTACCTTTCCTCCTCCAGTCCATGCTACACAAAGAGGCAAGATTAATTTCTCTAAATGCGTGAGCATTAGGAAGTGGGAGGGGTTGGAGAAGGAGGAAATTATAATAAGGAAACCATAAACTACTTAAGCCCATGAAACAAAGGTAGGAAACATTCAAGGTAAGAGACCTCTTCTGGCCAGGATAGAGGTTGGTTCTGAGAAGACTTCAAGGAGAAGGCAGACATTTGAGCAAGGCTGCTGAGGAAGGATAGGCTGTGGATATTAGGCTGCAGGCAGGAGGATCACAGGGCAAACACTCCAAGACGGGAAATGCAAGTGTGTGTAGAAGGAACAGCAAGCATTTTTGCGTTGGGCTGGCTTATGAAGTTGTGACGGGCTGACGGCGAGATAGGACTGGAAAAGCACGTTGGGGTCAGGTTGCAGAGGTCCTTGACTGACAGAGAGGGGAGCTTGGTCTGTGGGGAATCCTCTGCTCTGTGTGGTCAGAGGCTGGTCCGACACTCCCGCCTTGCCCCAGTCTCCCTATTCCACATTCCAGCCCCGGCTGGCTCGGTAAAAACGGCGCGAATCTCGCTCTCCCTGGGTAACTAGGGTCCCAACTGCCTGGCTAGTGTTGCTTTTCGCGTCTTCACTGACACCATTAATGAATGAAGTCTGGCTCCCACCCGTGGGGAAGGGAGGAGCCTCAACCTCCGGTCCGCTTGCTCGCCTGCAGCGCTCCCGCCCGTGTCCCGCCTCGGCTTGCGAGGCCCTGAACCCCAACACCGACAGAAGTCGCGCCTGCGCACGGCCCTGTGGAGCCGCGGAGGGAGGGGACGGAGAACAGGGCGGAGGCGGAGGCGGAGTCAGGGCGCCAGCGCGTGGGCCCCGCCCCCTTATGTCGGGTATAAAGCCCCTCCCGCTCACGGTTTCCCCAGTCCGCCAAGGCTCGGAAACCCTTCACCATGTCGTGCGAGTCGTCTATGGTTTTGGGGTACTGGGATATTCGTGGGGTGAGTGCTGTCTCAGCGGTAGAGCCGCTCGGTCAAAGAGACAGACGCGGAGACGGCGGGTCTCTGGGTTCACGGTCTCCGGTAGGAGCAGCTCTACGCGGGAGCGTTTTCGAGCTGCCGAGCCACAGACGTCGACCCCTGCCCAGCCTCTGGGATGGCGGGCCCTGTGGGGAGGGGCCGAGGAGACCACGCCGGGGCCGGGCTTGGGGGGCAGCTTAACCACCGGCCCGGCAGGATGCAGGGGCTCGGCAGCCCCGGAGCCGGGGACGTTAGCGGGCGGGCGTTGGGAATGGGGGGGAGCTGCGCAGTCGCTGAACCGCTGTTTCCCCCAGCTGGCGCACGCCATCCGCCTGCTCCTGGAGTTCACGGATACCTCCTATGAGGAGAAACGATACACGTGTGGGGAAGGTAATGCCGCTCTGCGTGCCCTTGTAGCCAAGCTGGCCCTCCACCTGCCCAGGTCTTCTTAGGCCCAGAGGGTGGTGGCGTCGCGCCAAGGCCGGGTGGGACGTCTACCCCAGTCTGGATGGATAGCGACACATCCTTTATCTGGAACTCGGAGTTCTCTCTTTAACATAGCCCAACCGCATCTTAATGCTTAACCAAATAGGGCTCAGAGGCTCAATGGTTATGCGTTTGGGGCCCGGGAATTTGAGGTATTGGGACCAAGTCATTTCTTTAGATCTTTCGCTCTTGTCAGGTGAGGTATTAAGGAGGTTGGGTCCCACTTAATTCTGTCTCTTACAGCTCCTGACTATGATCGAAGCCAATGGCTGGATGTGAAATTCAAGCTGGACCTGGACTTTCCTAATGTAAGTGGCTTTAGTAGAGATGGCGGGCAGAAGGGAAAGCCTTCAAGTGTATCCATCCTTGCCTCTTTCCTGCCTGGTACAGAAGGATGCAAAATAGGGGATCTTAACCTGGATAGAATAAATAGAATTCAGGGGTCCTTCAACTGGATGGATATGTATTTTCATTCCCATTAACCACTAGCAACAGTGATTTCCTTTTATTGTGAAGAGAGACAATAAGTGACATTGGTTATTAGCCGTGTCTGTCACTTTGTCACTAGTAGAAATCAGGTATTTTCTTTTTTGTGTGTTTTTTGTTCTTTTGTTTTGAGACAGGGTCTCTGTTGCTTAGGCTGGAGTGCAGTGGCACAATCGCAGCTCACTGCAGCCTCAACCTCCCAGGCTCAAGCAGTCCTCCCACCTCAGCCTCCCAAGGAGCTGGGACTACAGGCACAGGCCACCATGCCCAGCTAATTTTCGTATTTTTGTTAGAGATGGGGTTTTGCCATGTTACCCAGGCCGATCCTGAACTCCTGGGCTCAAACAATCCTCCCACCTTGGCCTTCCAAAGTGTTGGGATTATAGGCGTGAGCCACCGTGCCCAGCCTGAAATCAGGTAGTTTTATATTCTATTAAACGCATTGCAGATATTTTAAGTGATATTTATATACGTGTAAATAAATATATACATATTTACTTTGAGACTATGTTAGTCATTACATCTGCTTACTATTTAATGCATTAATAGGCATGTTACGCTATTTGAATTTTTTAAAATATTTTTTGGTTGTGTAAATAATCTATTTTGCTTCATGCTTTTAACAACTTTATTCTGAGAAAAGGTCCATGGCATGCACATACACCCACACATACACACACTGATTTAAGAACCCCTGTCTAGAATCTCGTGGACCCAGTTGCTGCCTTCTACTTATTTTCTTTTTTCTCCTAATGCAGCATCTTCTCTTTCTTGTTCACTGCCCTGCAAGTATTCTTTTCCCCAGGAGAGAGAGGTAGGGAATCAAGAGAGAGGTAGGTTGTTCATCTGGCCTGTCCTTTTCCTTTCAGCTGCCCTACCTCATGGATGGGAAGAACAAGATCACCCAGAGCAATGCCATCTTGCGCTACATCGCTCGCAAGCACAACATGTGTGAGTGGGGTAGGGCTGGGGAGGGACCCCAGGCTGGTAGTTTGTCTGAGAGTGGACAATGCCAAGGGTGATTTGTTATCATTTGGCCTACAGGTGGTGAGACTGAGGAAGAAAAGATTCGAGTGGACATCATAGAGAACCAAGTAATGGATTTCCGCACACAACTGATAAGGCTGTGTTACAGCTCTGAGCACGTGAGTTTCTTTAGCACACATCTGCTGAATGGAGTATCAGAAAAAGGGGTATTTAGGAACCCAAGGGTTATCTCTGTTTCGTTCTGCTGCTGCTACCTTCCCACCAACCCAGATTATTAGAATAAGAAACAGAACTTATAATTTTTGGTTTGTTTTGTCATGTAATTCCGGTTCTGGTGCCTCTTCTTTCCAAACTCCTCCTTCCCACCCTGCCATCCTCAAGTGAAGGCAATGAGAAGCCACCTAGAGAAGGGGCTACTAAATGTCCATCACTGGCCTGTGCCCTGATTAACTACAAAAGTGATCACCACTATTCTCATTCTGTTTTTTCCTCTTAGGAAAAACTGAAGCCTCAGTACTTGGAAGAGCTACCTGGACAACTGAAACAATTCTCCGTGTTTCTGGGGAAATTCTCATGGTTCGCAGGGGAAAAGGTAGGAAGAAGGGAAAAGAAGAGCATACCTTCTATCTCTGCAGGCTACTACTCTCAGATCCAAGCATCTTATTGCTTTTCTTCTAGCTCACCTTTGTGGATTTTCTCACCTATGATATCTTGGATCAGAACCGTATATTTGAGCCCAAGTGCCTGGATGAGTTCCCAAACCTGAAGGCTTTTATGTGCCGTTTTGAGGTGATGTTTCCTGCACCTTTCTCTTATAAAAACACTCACAGGCTTCCCTGGGCCCTGTAGGATCCCGTTGTGGTGGATTCTTGCCTGGCTTTTGCCTGAAGGGATCAATGGTTGGACACCTCTAGACCTTTAAGTCTTGGGAAAAGCCTGACTTCTACACCTTGAAGGCACTGTCTACAAAAAGTGGAGGAGGTAGACATAGGCAACATGTGAATGTTGCTGTTTTGGTATGCATCTGTTGGACTGGATTGGGGTCTTTATAAGATTTGGTGTATTTTCCTTTCAGGCTTTGGAGAAAATAGCTGCCTATATACAGTCTGATCAGTTCTTCAAGATGCCCATCAACAACAAGATGGCCCAGTGGGGCAACAAGCCTGTATGCTGAGCAGGAGGTAGACTTGCAGAGCTTGTTTTGTTTCATCCTGTCCCTAAGGGATCAGCACTCTTTCTTTGCTCTTTTCAATAAATAGCATTTAGGTTACTGGTGTCCAGCTGAATTTCTCTTGGGTATAAAGGCTAAAAGGGAAAAAGAATATGTGGAGAATCATCAAGATATGAATTGAATCACTGCAACACTGGCATCCCCCTACTCCCCAACTGAGTTCAAGCACTGTAGGTTCATGCCCAAGCCTTGAGAGTGGGTACTAGAAAAAGATTGCACAGTTGGAGAGAGCAGGTATGTTAAATGGGACTGGAGTCCCTGTGAAGACTGGGTGAAGTAAAACTGTAGTACTGATGGACTTAACTGGAGTTCAAAAACCATCCTGTGTACACATGGGAGTTTAGTGTGATAAAGGTAGTATTTCAGACTGGTGGTCTAGCCAGTAGAGTTGGGACAATTGCTTACTCATTAAAAATAATAGACCCCCCACTTGACACTATTCACTAAAATCTGGAATTTAAGGCCCAACATTAAACACAGAGCTGTTGAAGTATTGATGAAAATGTAAGAATTTTTGTGACTGTGGGGTAGGAGAAGTTTCTTTAAAGACATAAGAAAAAACCATAGGCTGCTCTGCCTGTGGAGTAGCCATTCTTTATTCTTTTACTTTTTTAAACAATAACAAAATCACAAAGGAAAGATTTACCAATTGAATAGGGTCAAATTCTACAACTTTTCCTAAGGCACACACAATAAATGACAAGTGAGACGAAGAGCACTAGTATAAAGATTATATAAAGACCTGTAAATCATTAAGACAACTGAGTTCTTAAAAATGGACAAAATCAATGAATAATTTGTAAAGTAGAAATGTGACCAAAAACATCTAAAAGGTGTTTATAATGCAAGGAACTATAAATTACAACAGTGAGAAACCATATTTCCTTCTATCCAATGAGTAAAAAGTTTCTAAAGTGTTGGCAAGGCTTGGGAAAGTGATATGCATTTCCTGCTGGTCAACTTGTAAATTAGTATAGCTACTTTGGAGGACAATTTAGCAACATCTGCTAAAATTTAAATCATATCCTATGACCTAGCAATTCCATGCTATAAAAACTCATCCATGGCTGGGCTTGGTGGCTTACACCTGTAATCCCAGCACTTTGGGAGGCTGAGGTGGGAGGATCACAAGGTCAAGAGATCGAGGCCATCCTGGCCAACATGGTGAAACTCCGTTTCTACTAAAAATATAAAAATTAGCTGGGCATGGTGGCATGTGCCTATAGTCCCAGCTACTCAGGAGGCTAAGGCAGGAGGATTGCTTGAACCCAGGAGGCAGAGTTTGCAGTGAGCTGAGATCACGCCACTGCAGTCCAACCTGGCTACAGAGCGAGACTCTGTCTCAAAAAAATAAAAAACCTCATTCAAAGAGGCATATACTAAGATGTTCACTGTGGCATTATTTGTAATGACAGATAAGCGGAAACCATGTAAATACCTGTCAATACTATGGAGTACCACGTGGCAGTGGAAGAATGAGACTGAACTGTGTGAACTAACATGCAAAGATCCCCAAAACAGGCCAGTTGTGGTTGCTCACAGCTGTAATAACCACACTTTCAGAGGCTGAAGTGGGAGGATCACTTGAGGCCAGGAGTTTAAGACCAGCCTGGGCAACATAGTGAGACCCCTGTCTCCCAAAAAAAATTTTTTTAGCTGGGCACAGTTGCTCATGCATAGTCCCAGCTACTCAGGAGGCTGAGGTGGGAGGATTGCTTGAGCCCAGGAATTTGAAGCTGCAGTGAGCTGTGTTCTTGCCACTGCACTCCAACCTGGGTGACTGAGCAAGACGCTATCTCTTAAAAAAATAAAAAAGATCTCCAGGCATAGAGAAGAGTCTGGAGGGAAACACCAAACTCATAACAGGCTTACTGTAGGCAAGTGGGATAAAGGCCCAGACTCCATGGTGGAAGTTAAAGGGCATTTCCAAGTTAAGGCTAAGACTTGCTTTTCTAACTAAGAGAATGTACTTATGCATTGCTTGTGTAGTAGAAACTAGTTTTAAGAAAAGAAAGCAAACTTAAGAAACACTGACTCCTTTGGAGATGACTTGGCACCACTCTCCGTTCACAGAGCAGAGTCCGAATAGTCTTCAGAGACAGGCCTGTAGGCCAAATTGTCATCCCCTATGGACCAGAAGCCAAGGATCTCTCTAGTGATGGTTAGAGGGCCCAAATGGCAGGGATACCCAGTGATGTCAGGAGGAATAGTACAGACAGAAGGTGCTAAGCAGACAGTTCAACTGCCATGTTTTGCCACCCCCTGTGAGCAGGGATTAGGTGTTCAGGCCAGTTTCTTGGGCATGGGGAGCCTTTGGCCAGAAGAGGTATAAAGCTCAGAAGTTTTTCATTCTGATAACTATTGATATAATTTTCATAGTGTGAGGGAGTGGTATGCTTTAAGGAAAGGCCTTGTGTATTTAAGGGAGGCCAGAGAAATTGAGGATGTCCCTGGGGCTAGATCAGTGCTATGACCAGAAATCAAAAAGGGAATGCATTATTTATTGCTGTGTAACACTATTAAGAGAGGAGGTGGTTAAGGGATGGATAGGCACATAGAGAGGGAGGGTCTCAGGAGAAGGGATAGAAAGGAACTATGTTCACAAGAACAACTGTGGGACAGCCCCTATACTGCCTCTACAGTTAACAGGAAAAATGTAAGAACTTACCCTTAAGCTAGGATGTTGCTCAGAAGTGACCATCCCAACTTTGGTGCAGGCACAATAAATCAACCTAAATTTCCCTAATTTAACCCAGCTCAATATAATGTCATTAAACATGACATTAGCATTGTGGTTTTAGCACCCCCATGGGTTTTGCTTAGGCACTCATGGGTAACAACCAAGATGGAGTCACTTTGGCAAACCTTAGGCATGCACAGCTGTAGTACCCCAAGGAGAAAATGTTACCTCTCCCATCTGGGCAAAACCCACAGAAGACTTCCTGGCTTCTGCCACATAAAAGACACAGAACACAGATGTCTTACTGACAACCTGCTTTCAAGACCCCTGTCTTTGCTGAGAGCTTTCCTTTTTCCCAGTAGATTCTACTCTGCCCTACTCACTCTCCACATCCATGTGCCTAATTTTTCATGGTCATGGGACAAGAGCCTGAACCTTGCCATACTCCAGGGGCAAAGGAAGACTTCTAAACTATTCCCACAGATGTAGCAGCCTAAAACAATACATGTTTATCGTCTCCAAGTTTTGTGGATTAGGAGTCTGGGCACAGCTGAACTGGGTCCTCTGCTCAGGGTCTCATCTGAAAACTGCACTCAGTGGGTCAGCCAGAGCTTTGATCTCACCCCCACGCTAAGCGGGGGAAAGATCTGCCTCCAAGTTTGTGTAATTATTGATAGCATCAGTTCTTTGTTTCTTGTGGGACAGAGGTCCTCCATTTATCATTGGCTGTCAGCTAGAGCCACCTTCAGCTCCTTGCAAAAGGGGCCTCCTCAACATGACCACCCATTTCACCAAAGCTAGTTAAAGGCGTCTCCTGGAAGAAGGAACACTACAGTCCTATGTATTCTAATCACAGCAGTGACATCCCATCACCTGTTCTTATTCTATTAGAAGCAAGTCACTAGCCCCACCCACACTCAAGGACATGAGTACTAGGAGGTGGGATCATGGGGGTCATCTTACAGTCTGCTCACCACAAGAGAAGAAGGAAGGAAATGGGAGATTGGTCCTGCAGTCCTATGAGAAAAATATCCCGGGAAAGACAGACGACAAGAGAAAGCAGCAAGGTAGGGAATGAGCAATTTGCAAGGGAGAAGTTTTAAAAATTCAAGTCTGCAGGTGAAATGTATTTCACATGAATTCCAGATAGACAGATCACGTAGGCAAATCACATGTTTCAATTTTTTTTAATTATTATGTTTGTTAGTGAAAATCCACTCAACAGTTATGTAAAACCTGGACCTTACTGGTCCAGAAAGCAGGGAACAGGGAACACTGAGAGGAACAGACCCTTTCCACAAGAGAGGTGGATCCCCAGTTCTCAATAAGCTCCCAGTTCTAACTCTAATATGGGCCAAGAAAAGAATGCTGTCACAATGGCTGCCTTCAAGCAAGTGGCAGAGGTAGGGGAGTGGCTGGGAGCACATCCAAGGCACAGAGGCACAATAGTGATGGGTTTATACAAGTAGCATCAGTAAGGGCTTAAAAGAAAACTTGAAACAGGTGCATTAGATTTGGTGGAGCAGTTCCCCAAAGTGTTAGGGAAACTCATTTGTATTCATTGTTGCAGGTTGAGCAACTGGGCATTTCTAATTCAGAAAGAAATAGCTTATGTGATTAAAGGAAAGTTTGTTTTAGAGTTTTTTCACTGTTATAGGGAGACAGGGACAGGTGTAGTCATGAACACAGATCTGCCTTTAAAGCCAGTTTAAGAAGCACTTATGAAAACACTTGGACTGTGTATAGAAATTGCACATTCCTTATCCTTCAACTGCAGTACAGGTGGAGCAAATGAGCCACACAGAAAAAGAGGACTTAGAAAGTTCAGATGGTTGGTGGGGGAAGGGAAGAAATAAAATTCAGTGGGTGATTTTTCTAATGTGTAAATTTGTTCACATCACTCCCCTGCTTAAAGATGTTTAGTGGCTTCTAAGACCTCAGGGAGGGCGGGGGAGGAAACTGTCTTCTCAGGCTTACCTTCACAACCTCACCTCTGCTCACTTTCCAGTGGCATCCTTGGCATGTGCCCTCCCCCTGCTGCCCTGGAGAACTGGGTCTAGTCCTCCCTTTATGAATTTCCAAGGGAGCAGCACTATATGGTGCTCAGAAGCATGGACTCCAGAGCCAGGCCATCTGGGTTCAGATCCTGGCTTTGCCCCAGGTAAATGGTGGCCTCCTGTGCTCAGTGTCTTCTTTGTTAAATGAACCCTCTCTCACAAGGTTGTTATGATAAGGGAGGAGACCACCCCTCATATTGTCTTGTGCCCAATTTCTGCCTCAAAGAAAAAGTAGGAGTTAAAGAAAAGACAGAAATGAAATCAGTAGTCAGACAGCCTGGCGCTGCATTCCAGGCCTGGTAGTTAAAGATCAACCCCTGATCTAACTAGTTCTGTTATCTATAGATTCTAGACATTGTATGGAAAAGCAATGTGAAAATCCCTGTGCTGTTCTTTTCCATTCTGATTACCAGTGCATGTAGCCCCCAGTCACATACCCCCCGCTTGCTCAATCGATCATGATCCTCTCACATGGACCCCCTTACAGTTGTAAGCCCTTAAAAGGGACAGGAATTGCTCACTTGGGAAGCTTGGTTTTTGGAGACGTGAGTCCACCAGTGCTCCCAGCTGAATAAAGCCCTTTCCTTCCACAACTTGGTGTCTGAGGGGTTCTTGTCTGCAGCTCATCCTGCTACATTTCTTGGTTCTCTGACCAGGAATTGAGGTGATTAATGGACGGTCGAGGCAGCTCCTTAGGCAGCTTAGGCTACCCTGTGGAGCATCCCTGTGGGGGACTCCAGTCAGCTTGAAAGATGCAG